TGGAAGGAGTAAAGCAGGAAGGAGGTGCTGCCAGGAGACACCTGAGAACAAATCAAAAAGCACAGGAATTGTTTTCCACAGTCATTTTACACATTCATTAAGGAAAGATGAAGGGGAGAGAGAAAAGAGTTAGAAAAGCAGGTAAATACACGTGTTCATATGATAAATATTTGTTTTATTGGTTCCTCTTGATTGCATGGCCACAGGTGCCATTCTGCTATGGGAGAATACTCTGAACTTAGAGCGCTGTCGTGGTTAAGCCTGAACTATGTGGGTTAATGAACATCAAGACTGAGTATTAAGAGCTATAATTCGTGAGCTGACTTATATAATGTTGGGCTGTCAAAGTCAAGGATTTGACCAGTATGAAAGCTTTTAAAAGTTAAAAAATAATCTTAATTCTGTTATATATTAGAGTGACATAATAGACCCAGTGTCCCAACCATGACTTTGAAGATCCTTAGCTACATGTAAGCTGCCTAGGCATTTTATTGTTGGCTACAGTGTACTTTCGTAGGCAGATTATATTCATTTAACTCACAGTTATTTCATATATTTCCTTATACTTCAGCCTCTAGGATATGTTGCAAATGAAAGCAGAGAATGACCTGACAGGCTCATCTTAGAGTCACAGATAGCACTGAACAAAGTATTTAAATGGCATCCCACCCTGCTCAGATGAGTCCTTGCTTTGTAATGAGGTGCCAGGAATGTAAAGAGGCAGTGTTTTAAAAGATGTCAAGATATGTTATTATGTCTTCATATTTGCAAATAAAAACAGGATGAATTAAATATCCTCAGACTATATTAATGAATAACCTGGTATTCAAAGTACTGGTGCCAAGTTTGAAGAGTATGTTTGTTCATGTGGAGATGAACATCACTAGGAACCAAATCCTGATTAAAATTCAATTTTCTATTCATCATCACTATAAACTCAATTTTTTCCAAACCTAGCTTCCAGTTTTTTCTTTTTTAGTTGTCAATGGATCTTTATTTTATTTATTGATATGTGGTGCTGAGGATCGAACATGGTGCCTCACACATGCTAGGCAAGCGCTCTGCCACTGAGCTACCACCCCAGCTCTCCCAGTTCTTAATATTCTGCCCTGAATTTAAATGCAGACAAAAGATTTATCATTAATCTTCATCCTCTTTCAAAATTTGTGTAATCTTGATAGGTTATAAAGGAATTCACAGAATAGCTTTCCTTGTGAGATGAAGGGGAGAGAGAAAAGGGTTTGATGTAAATCAAGTGAAAACACAACTCAAATGTTCCAGGTGCACAGTGAAAAAGTTTATTTATGACAGATTTCAAAACTCGGAAGAGAAGACAAAGAAATGCACAAAAGCATCACAAAACTGTTACATAATATAAAAACACTGAGAACTGAGCTATTTAAAGAACCATAGCTCAGGATCATCACTGTATCACAGCAACACACTCAATGCCACAGGGTGATAAAATATGGTATTGTAAAAGAAAAACCTCTCAGCAGGACACAAGACTCAAATACAATTTGGTACAGAGTTCTTAATGTGGAAATTATAGGAAATATTGACAGCATTTCTCATGAGGGTGACATGTAAAACAAGTTGATAAATGATTAGTTAGGATACTTTTATATAAAAAAGACAAAACTGTGATACAGATTTCCTTCCAGACCCCTTTTGTAAAGTCAGCATCAGTGAATGATGTAGCACAGTACAGAAAGAACATCTTCGTGGTTGCCAATTGCTTAAATATTTATCAGGAAAACATGATCGCTTTTCAATCAACTGATAGATCTGAGTGATGGCACGAAAGCAGGACCTCCAGAAACGTGAGCTACATGCTGTGGAGCAGTGGTTTAGGAAATCTTCAAGCACCTCTCTGCACTCCCATCATCCATTCCCAGTCTGCTTTCTTCCAATCCATCACTCTGACTACACGCACTTGTAAATGCTTTCATTTTTTTACAAAGCATCCCAGCGTTTCCTCTGGGAATTTCAAAACACTTCCCATTGTTATTAAGGAAATATGGATACACCAGAGTCATGGGTCATGGGATTGCTTTCTCCAGACTTGACTTGTTCTTTAACATAACTAAATGGAAATAACTCAACTGGATTAAATAAAAGCTAACTCACTTATGGGACAATAATTTCAAAAAGGAACACAATAGTATTTTTAACAGAGAATTTCTTAGTAAAATGTACTGTTCAGAACATGAGAGAAGGAATTAAGATAATGATTTCCAGATGATTCCTGGCCTGAACCTAAGAATCAACAATGACAATCAATAAAAAGGAGCATTACGGACTAGGCATTTCAACCCTGAGTGATGAGGAGAGTTCAGGAAGAGCCCCTTAAGTTGACAGTGAACTGTGAGCTCTTTGGCAATACTATGTACTACGATATTTCAACCCAAACTTCAGAATTCTTCATGAACCTGTATCAGAACTTTAGAAAATATGCTTTGTCCCTGAAAGTCATTTCACCTAATTTTTCATCCTCAAATAAGCCAAAACTATCTGCTTAAAATGATACAAAAAACTGAAATTTCATCAAGTAGCCTATGTGTCTAGATTTCTAGGGCACCTTTTCATCATATATTTGTATCTGTGGCACAAATGCCTTAGGCCTAGAAGAATTCAAGGTACATAAAACAGAAATCAGATGATGAGTTCAAACCAGTGGCCAGGACTACAGACAACGTCACAGCCAGTGTCTTGCCCTTGGACTTGGTTTGTGAGGAATGACAATTTATAAATGAGCCATACCATCTATACTACTGCAGTCTGTAGACTATTCATTGTATTTCCTTAACTTGGAGATAAGGGATTCAAATAGGAGAGGTTCTATGTAACCTTCTTGGTTCAAGCAGGAACAATGAGAAACTTCAGAGGGAGCAGTGATTCTGAAACCTGCTTAACAAAGTTTCTCTTTGGGTCACAAATTCTGCCCTAATGTCACCACCTAAATAATGGGATGTACTTGGGAATGCCCAGAAGTGCTAGATGGATTAGACAGAGCAAAAGACAGCCACTGACGGTCACCTGACACACACAGCCAAAGCAGTACTCGCCTGTCTCCTCCCATTCCCATAGAGGTCACCAGAGGCAGAGCACTGATCAGTGGAAAGCAAACACCCAGGTGTGAGTGATTTTCTTCTGTACCAGGGATAGAACCCAGGGTCACTTAACCACTGAGCCACATCCCCAGCACTTCTTTTTTATGTTTTACTTTGAATCAGGGTCTCACTAAATTACTGAGGTTAGTTTCAAATTTGCAATCCTCCTGGGATTACAGGCGTGTGCCACAGCACCTGGTATCTCATGACTGATTTTCAATACTCATTCCCTACTTCCTCCCAAAGAAGCACATGTGGTAGCTCCCTGAGCACAATCACAATGAATACAAGGACTTGCTCTCTGTCAAGCAGTCTTCACAAGCCTACCTCCTATAACAGCAACGGAGTTACCTTCCTTCCTTCCACCAGACAGATTCGCTTTCTATCTTCAACCACCTTGACTCTGCAGGGGTGGTAGGCTTCTTTATTGCGACAAATTTTGGTTTCTAGGCATTCTTCACTTTGGGCAATGTGGAAAGAAACTTAAAGAGGTTGCTGTGGATCCTTTAGCCCCAGGAAAAAACTCTTAAGTAGAAAGTTTAATGGGGAAGAATGAGAGTAGCCTGCTGTACTCAGTGCCCTGTGTCTGCCCATCCAACACAGGCTAACCATGCCCCTGCGGTCGGCCTGTGGGGGTCTATATGTTACCCAAACCCCCTCCTGTAGTTCTAGGCTCATCTGTGATGTTGGTCAAATGACTATCCCCTTCTTGGCCATATTCAGACCACATCTGGAACTGACTCCTCTCAGCCTCTCTCTAATTCTACCAGTTTTTCCATGGCACTAAATGCTTTTAAATCCCAAAGAACAGAGAGATGAAATGAATCCTCACGTCAGGATTACACTTAGCAGAGGAGACCTACTAGGTGGTCCTGTTGGAAAAGTCAGCAAATTGGGCTTGGGAATCCCCCAGAAAGCACAAGGAAACCAGGAAAGCTCCTGGCTTAGAGAACAATTCCAGTGAATGAAATGCAACTCAAACATTCAATGAAATGGGATAGGAGTAAAATCCCGGGATATATTCCATAGCTCTGCTCTCCCTCCTGTTTTATCCTGATAGCACTCCTTTTGATCAATTTAAAAGGCAGTTCTCCAGCCGCACAAAACTGTTTACCTTGCACCCCTGCCACCCTCTGCTAGAACTAGTCTTTCATGTAAATACAGAGTCCCTCAGCCCCATACCTTACAACCACAGACTGAGGTTAAAGGCAACTTTTTGCAGAGAAGTGGTCTTTAAAAATAAATATAAAAACACAGACTTTAGGGCTTGGGTTTCACCTAATTCTCTCAAAGAGGGAGAGAATTAGGTGGGGCTTATCAAAATACAAAATTTGTATACTGTGAATTTCACAATATATAATCCCATTGATTAATAAAAGGCAGCAAGCTTATGAATTTAACTCTTCTATATCCCTACTAAAACGAAATAATAGATATTTTTAAAAGTTCATTTTGCTTTCCTAAATAGATTAAAATATTTTAAAAAGCATACAAATCAATTAATTAAAAAATAAGCATAGTCTAATTTCAAGTTGCTACCTACTTCAGTGATAAAGGAGGATTGAGTTTGAATTTCAGAGTCCTGAGGGTGTATCATAAAGCAATAGAGATTAGAATCAAGTCTTTCCAGAGCAGCCTCCCAATTACCCTCACACTGAAATGCCAGTTAGAGGGAAAGGTGGCAGAAATCATAGCCTGAGGGAAGGCAGAAAGACAGCATGAATTTTGAAAGATGAAAAGAAGAAGAACCATTACTGTGAAGGCCACGTCTCAGGTAATCCATGTTGAATGAAACAGGTCTGCTAAAAACCAGGGGCACCCTGACACAGGAGAGCTGGTGCTCTCTATGTAGGGAAATTCTCTAACTGGATATTTGTCAAAAGCACAAAAAGTTAGAATCATCTTTATTTAAAAATTAGCACTTTATGATTTTAAGATCTACATGGCATGTGTGTATGTTTATATTTATTTTTTGTTTACTGAAATTTTTCATAGTAAAATGTTGGAAAAATCAACTTTAAATAGAACTTCCTTTCCAAATGCCCCATCTATCAACAAAGTAGGAAAATGAAATGGACTGAAGAAATTTTAGAACTCAACTATTCTGTGTGGAGAATTCCAAGATCTGCCCTACAGACTTTCTTCCAAACTGTTTGTTAATATTTACTTGAGCTCTGGAGAATAGAGTGAGAGTGACAGCCAGGGATCTTCATTTCACTGTTTGATAAACATGGATAAGGACAGCCTGAGGAAGTGGCCACCTTTTAGAATTCGCTGGGCTGTGGGTTCTCAAGTAATTTTACCTGTGCTTTAGTAAATAACTTTTGTCTCTAAAGTTCAATTATTTCAAAAATTTAATATGAGAATAGTAAATGCATTAGACTGTGAGATTATCTTCTTTTAGCTATTTGTGCTAATGAAACCAAGAAACACTATGGAAGAAAAAACAGTAAGGAATGCCCAGGACTTCAAAATGACCAGACAATAGCAGGCACATAGAGGTGATGAAAACAAGTCCCTCAGGGTTCCCTGATACAACAGAACCAGGATTCCAAGAAAATAAGCAAAGAGACTCTCATGACAAAAATAAAAAAATAAATGGTGCATGTTATCCCTGGGAGCTTGCTACCTGTGACCTGATAGCTCCATATTGAGATAAAGTCATAGGTTGATAATAAACAGGAAAAAATAAGCAAGGCTTTCAATGACTGAAAAACAGCTCAGTAGAAAATTATTTTACAAAGACCATATTTGATTAGCTAAGGCATGATTCAACTTCATGATGAAAGAGTGGCCACAAAGCTATGTAACGAATGACCCATGACATATTTGCTCTCCACTGCCCAAATAGTCACTAAAATAATTTCTTACAAGATATATAAATTTTGGCCAGTGTGATCCTCTACAAAACACATTTGCAATGATACAATAATGGAGGTATGATGCCACTCAAGAGAATGGAATGCTATGGCAATCCACAACACTCTATCTTACTTTCGGCTTTGCTCCCAGGGGAACAGAGGCTTAGGACTCATGGTCCTTTGTTCCTGACATAGACACTATTACAGACCTACTGGGAGGAGTCTTGCTGTTCAAGTGACCACTCCTGTAGGAGGATAGGCTTGGGGTGAGGAACCCACACAACAAAGGAATGAGCCAAAGAAAACATCATGAAAAGGTGTCAGAGGAGGCAAAGGACTTTGAAATCCTGGAATCACAGTGATTGGCTAGTCACTGATTGGCTAGTCAATTCCTCTGCACTCAATTCCCAGAGAACAAGTAGGCTCCCTCGCCATTTAGAACTCCTCACGGGAGTGCTGGTCTGCACCTACACGTGGGGCAGCCTGCAGTCATCCATCTCTGAAGGGGCAGACGCCTCCCAGAGCATCACAGGACTGACCTGTAGAAATGAACATAGTCACCTCGCAAATTCTCCTACAATCATTTTTAACTCTATAGAAGAGGTGGCCTCAGTGGCTCAGAGCAGATGGGAAGCCTTCTGAGAAACAGAAGAAACTGTTTCAAAGGCAAAAATGAAATGTGCTTTAAAAAATAAATAAATAAATAAATCTGAATATTCAAAATTCAACGGGAGTAACAGACTTCACACAGGAATAAGAAACAAAGAGGAACAGATGACTGCTGGAGTCCTGGCCTCACCCTGTTCTCCTTCTCCCCCAGAGGCCCTGGCACCCGGGGGCTGCCTGCTGCAGCACCACAGCACTCTGGCATTCGTAGGCCTCGGGGTGAACAGAGTGAGGAAGGCTGTTACCAGGGAAATGCAAGCTTTGGTCAGGTAAAGAACATGTACAATCAGCAGCAGTCCCTTTCCTAAGGGACTTCAAACACCAAAAGCTTTTAGCCCTCAATACAAAAAACCCTAAATCCAGAAACTTTGAAAATCTGATTGGGTTTCACTGCATTTAATTCCAAACCAAACAAACAACAACAAAAAAATGTGGTGGGGGAATCTGGAGTGTTTTTTTTTTTCTTTTTTAAACCTCTCTTTGATGATATCCCTCTTTCTTGGATTAAATTTTCTTAAAAATTGAGTAACACTAGAATTTCAAAGGTGGATTCCAAGATCAATTCAGTATCTAATTTCCACCCTTTCTGCATCAACTGCCAGTGCCCTTGGTAAGGGAAACTAGCTCTTGGAACAGAAAGTGATAGAGCCCATTTTTCCTCCCAGAAGATCTTAGGTTACACTGATCATCACTTTAGATTGCATGAAAGTTCTTGCTGTATGGCAAAAACACAGACTTAGGAAAGAGAAAAAAGGAGGGGTCTAGCCATCAGGAATAATAGTACCCCTCCAAGGCAGTGAGGTCTCGCAGCCTGTGCTAGAGAACAAGAATACCCAGCAGGCAGGAATATGGCAGTGGTGAGAGGATGGACAGAGCTTTCTCTGTCCAAGACACTGGGCTCCTTCATGGGCAATGTGCTTTTCCCTCTTCTGGCACCTTAAAAAGTAAAAAGGGTGGGTGCCACTGAACACATTGGCATTATAGGCTCTCAAGAGGAGCAAGCAGCAACCTGACTGATAAACCTTGTACCAACACCAATCTATTTGTAAAAGACATCATCCTACTTCCTTTGAGGCTTTTGCCTGATAGGTGCCTTCAAAGAGGGATTTGCTGGCATCTGAAGCAACAAGAGCATGAGTCAGGGACCACAGAACAGGGGACTACACCACCACCTGCAGAAGCCAAGAAGGGGAAAAAGCTACACGGGGTCAACAGTCAGGCATGCCAGGCAGGACGTGAGGCTTAGGAGCCTCCCGCGGAACTTTCAGCTCTTGTCTATCTAAAACAAGAGGCTCCGGCTGGCAGCCTGCGTCAGCCAGCAAATACAGCCTGCCCACTGTCTCAGCAGTCCTTCAGCTAGTGTAGTAGATGTGGAAGTAGAGAGTCTTGTTGCGTAGCAGAGAGTAGGAGTTGTCAAACTTGAGCAGGTAGATACCCTCTCCAGGGTAGTCATGGCTGCCAGCCTGCACATCTCGGTGGCTGTCCCTTCGGTACACAGGCATGACTTCCCCATAGCGACCCCGTAGGGAACTCCTGGAGCCTCTCTCCACATCTCCCACTGGGACAGGTTCTGCAGAAGCAAACAGCAGTATTTGGATATGAGTTCAGAGACTGAACACATCCTACTGGATGGTGAGATGATGAGCCAGGTAACCTCATGATTTCAGTGAGAAGGGGAGGTGCCTTTGGCTTCCTATTATAGGGAACTGAAAAATGTTTGGTGATTTTTTTTTTTTTTAGTCAAAACAGTGACTACTGAGTGACACTGGCATTTAGTGCTCCAGGGTGCAGGAGTGCTAAAGTCAGGCTACCTCTCTAACAAAGTAGTGACCCATCCCAAATGCCAATAATGTCTACACTGAGAAACAGTGAGTTAGCCTGATGAGCTCCAAACGTGTCTGGGTATTTCTGGGGGGTAGAATGACATATTTAGATGGGAATATCTAGAAATTCTTTCATTCAGTAGGTGAAAGGACTAGCCAACATGAGTAGGAAATGCAGATAAACATGTTGTACAGAGAGACCCCAAAACTTCCACTTGGTTTCCTAAAAAGCGGCAAATAAGACATAAGGTTCTTCTCTAAATACCTGTAGATTTCCTTGCAGACTCAAAGAAGCAAGCTAAGGAACTGATTTTAAGATTCTATAAAAAACTACGAAAAACAGCTAAATCTTAGAATCTACTCTTAGATTACCTCCCCCCTCAAAATATCTCAGGGCCATCCTGAGTAAACACTACAAGTAACAGCTAGAATAGAGCAGAGACTCCTTTTTTCTTTTTCTTCTTCTTGTACACGGTACTGGGGATTGAATCCAAGGGCACTCTACCAGTGAGCTACACACTAGCCCTTTTTATTTTTTTTTATTTTGAGACATGGTCTCACTAAGTTGTCCAGGCTAACCTTGAACTCCTGCCTCAGCTTTCTGAATAGCTGGGATTACAGGTGTGCAGCACCATACCCAGCTCAGATACTACTTTTGAACTGCTCTAGCCATGAAGTGAGCAGTCAGACAGCTAAGACAGTTTGCATGGAAGAAAAAAAGGGTACATTTAGCAAATTCACTCAGTTTGGCTCCATGTTAAGAATAAATAGCCCTAAAATAAGAGAGAAATGCAACATAACTTCAGGTTTCCACGTGATGTGAAAAACCCAGCTTCTATATACAGAAGCAGTGACTCCTCTCTCTCTGCTCCAACCCTATAGCCACCCCCAGAAAAATGTTGAGGAAACAATTAGGTACTGATTAAAAGGAAAGAAAACTATCAGCTAATGCATCAATACCAACCCTACTGGAATGTTCTCTGAGGGTCTGACTTTGGCACGCACCTTTTAACTTTAGCTTGTGATGCTGGATTCTGTGCCCACAGTGCTGCTGGATCCCTTCATACCTGCATTCTAAGGAGGACTGCTACAATCCAGGAAGTAGTCACTAGAAGTCAGGCTAAGGTAGAAATGAAAACTGCAAATTATGTTAAAATTAAATTTACCTTCAATTTCCTCCTCCTCTTCTTCTTCTTCATCCTCTTCCTCACTGGAATCACTGACCTGCACAGTTATATCAGTGCTGGTTACAGGGGTCCAGTCAAAATAAACTCCAAAGCCAATGTCATAGTCATCAGTTGCAAACTCCCAGCAGACACGCTTCCCCTCTGGATGAGTGGGTACCCGGATGGTCACCACCTCACCCCGTTTCACCACCAGACGGCTGTTCTTCTCTTTGCCCAGCTTGCTTTTGAATTCCTTCACCTTGGCAAAGGTCCAGATGCATGGAGGAGCCATCAGAGGTGGGGAAACTGAAAGGACAGGAAGTGTGCTATTGGAAAACTGTGGGGAAATGCTCCCACATCCAGCATTTTGCTTAGGGAGGTTGCCACAAAGACATTTTTTGCTACTGGCTTCTCTCACTTCTTTTCATAAGTCATTTTCTTCCCTTCCATCTGCCTACCTTTCTTTACATGTCTATTAGAAATTAAAAAAAACATTTTCTATATTTCTAGAGGTCTTACCTTTCCTGTGGTCCCCCAGAAGATCTGCAGATTCCAAATCAGCTGAAAGAACATCAATAGCTCCTGTATGCTCAGACTGGATCATAACGATGTCTCCAGACCTTTGTGGAACTTGGTACTTGGCCATCTGCACATCAGAACTCTGGTTAAAGGACACACTTAAGTGGCAGATTCCAATTAACCTCTTTCTAAATGAAAGTGAGCCCATCCCTCCCCTATTTCTCCCACTACCCCAATTCAAAGCTTAACATGCTATTCAATATTCCTTTTTTTTCCAAGTACAAGTTGCTAATAAATTCTTCTTTTTCTAATTTTTTTTTTAAGTATGAGTAATTGAACCCAGGAGTCACACGTGCTAGGCAAGTGCTCTACCACTGAGTTATATCCCCAGTCCTTTTATTCTATGTTTTTATTTTTATACGGGGCCTTGAAAGGTTGCCCAGGCTAACCCGGAGCTTGCCATCCTCCTGCCTCAGCCTCCCAAGTAACTGGGATAGACACCACACCATGCTAAATTCTACTTTTAAAAAAAAAAATGTTCCCTGGGTTAAAGATTCTTTCTTGTTCTTTCCTACCTTTTTCAATTTTACAGAAGTCTTTTTGCTCCATACCCTTTGCACAATCTTTCCCCACAAACATCCTCTCAGCTTGCTCCTGCCTTTGGCATCCAGTGTTCTGGGCCATGCCTGGTCTCACCTTAGCCTGCATAGCACTGTCTGTGGCTTCTCTCATGCCAGTGCTCCCATCATCTAGCTCATCTCCCACTCTGCCACACAGCCTCTGGCTACAAGATTTACTTCTACACTGAGGCTATGTCCTACTCAAGGGTTACTTCTATATGACTATCAGCCAGTTCAACAAAACGCTGCATAGAGAAACTGATTTCCAGTCTCAGTCTGTTCCCCCTCCCTCTCATTTTCACTCTCCCTCTCTTTTCTTCTTCCCTCCCTCTCCTTCATCTACACCTCAAGCTCTCACCCTCATCATTACTTTGTTCTATAAACAATTTCATCTTAGAGCAGCCCCAGGATTTGCATTTGAAGAGTGCACTTGCTCCCCGATACCTGACATGCATGGACGAATACATATGGCACTTGATACCCAAAGCCCTCGCTAACCCATACAGTAGCCTACTATGTCTCTATGCTGGGTTTCCCTTCAAATCACTCAGATTGTTTCATGGTATTATGCCTTATTTCCTTCTCCAGCTGGGACACACCTACTGAAATCTACACCTACTGCCCACTGGGGAAAGTGCAGCAGCGAGTCAGCAATACAATTAGGAGGCTGGAATTGTATTTGTGAGAAACAAATAAATCAAGTTTACAATGCATCCAGGCTAGGTTTTCACAGTATCTGTTTTGGCAGAAAAAGCACTCCAGTTATTATCTCCATTGCTAGATGAAGTGAATCAGACTTTGACTAGTGTGCTGAAGGAATCCTTCCTTTTCCAAAAGGTTAAGCAACAGATTTCATCTGCAACTCATTTAGCTGCATAGCCGTAGCCTCAGTTTCCTCATTTGGTAAATGGGGTCACAATGGTATCTATCTTGCAAGGCTGTTCTCAGAATAAATAGTGTTGTAGATAAAAAACTTATGTAAACTATAAAGCATTATACAAATGTTATTATAATGCTTGCTGTTTTTATTAAATAGTGATTGTTATTATAATACCTATGCTAATAATAATACAAACAATCCCTACCATCCATATCTCTATGGCAAGAAGACCTCTGTGGCAAGAGGACCACTGCTTATCAACACAACTTTTATAGAATCTTTACCATAAATACTAAGTAAAACTTCCACAGAAAAGTGAGACTAAAATAGTCCAATGCCAAGGTCCTTCACATCAAGAGGATTTTAGAGAACACTGAACACTTAACATTCCTTCCAAAACTTCAGTTTTTGAAAAGGTACCTATTATGTGCTAATACAATAACAGGCCCTGTGGGAGATACAGATAATCATTCACAAAACAATTAAGAGTGAAATGCTATAAAGGGAACAAAGAGAGAATTCTGGAAGCAAGGTCACTATGGTTTCTAACTCCAACCCTTCCATTATGTATCTAAATTTTGGTGCCCCAAACTCCTCTGTATGAGACAGACCCAGAATATGCTCCCTACCTGGTTGCGGACGTGGGCCTGGTCTGCAGGCAGCAAATGCTGTTCCACCAAAGCTGGAGCCTTGGAGGGATTGGTTGCTCCCTGCAGATCTTCTGTGGCATCCTTACTCACTGGAGATACCATCTGTGGCCTCTCAGAAGAAGAGAGCATGTCAATTCAAGGGCTCTTCAGAAAGGCACAACAGTCTTGGAGAAACTCTGGAATAAAACAGCGTTCAAAGGATACCCCACCCCCACTCTCTGCCTTCTGCATTTAGGCCATTGTCACTTCAGCTCCCAGCTGCCAGGGGCTGAACTGGCCCACAGTAAGGCATTGACCACGAGTGGGCACATGGACTGACAAAGCTAGGTCCCAGGCTCTGAGAACCATAGAAAACAGCTCCGTCATCTGACATGGATTTCCAGTCTGATTTTCTTTGTTGGTGTTATTTCTATTATTTATTTTAACAAATAAAAATCGTACATATTTATGTGTAAAATATTATACACACACACACACACACAAACACTGTGGAATGATCAAATGAGGCTAATTAATATACCCATCACCTCACATAATTTTTTTTGTGTGAGAACATTTAAAATCTATTAGCAATTTTTAAGCATAAAAAATTATTATTAACCATAGTCACCATAGTATGCAAAGATCTCCAGGACTTACTCCCCCCATATCACTGAAGCTTTGTACCCTTTGACGAGCCCCTCCCCATTCTATCCTGTGCCCTGACCTGTGCATAACCACCATCCTACTCTCCGCTTTCATGAGTCTGACTATTCCTCACTCTGGGACGTACTCCACAAGATTTCAACAGAAGTTAGACTCTGAGTTTGGTTCTATACAGTCACCAGAAGGAAGCAAGGGGTGGGAGGCCTGCCTAAGTCAGAGGCTGATGAACAGCAGTGCCAGATGATCTGCAAGGCCGTCCCTCTCCACAGTTACCTCAGGGGCAAAGTCTTTCAGCAGCTCCATTTCATACCCAGGATATCCCAGTTCACTGCCAGAGGCAATTGCTTTTTTTTTTGCTGGGGATCAAACCCAGTGCCTCCTGCATAACCAGCAACCCCTCTCCCACAAAGCCGCATCCCAGCCTTTCCTTTTAAAGCCCAATAATCAACTATCCTAATGACTGAAAACACAGCTATGTGAATAATTGATTTTGAAGAGGCAAAGGAATGATTCATGGGCCCCTCCATTTCTCTGGCTTCAGAGAGACTAGAAAATGAATTAAGTGTCAGGGCTGGAGCACAATACCCCAGGTCTTTTGAAAATCTGCTGCCAATAAAAAGTGACATGGCAGGTTGGGGTGTGGCTCAGTGGTAGAGTGCTTGCCTAGCATGCATGAAGCACTGGGTTCAATCCTTAGCACCGCATAAAAATAAAATAAAGATATTGTGTCCACCTAAAACTAAAATATAATTTTTTTTCAAAGTGACATGGCTTTTTAGAGCAACAGTTATTAAGGATAGTCTGGGGATCCCTGCAGTCCTTAGGACCCTTCAGGGAGTCTGTAAAATCAAATACAACTAAAATCTGTGTTTTCATACTAATAATAAAATATTATTTCCCTTTAACTCTTACTGTCAAGAGTGGGCAGTGGAATTTTCCAGAGACATCTGACATTGCAACTTGAAGCAGAGATGAGAATCTAATTGAGCTTTTATTAAATCCAGGCATTAAAGAGATTTACAATGTCTACATTACTATTACTTTGGAAATTAGTTGCTTTTCTTTTAAAACGTGTTATTTAAACTAATACATATAAAGTTAAAAACTTTGTTGTTTTTAAGTGAATGAATAATTATTTTCCAATTTTTCACTTTAATTTCTAATATAGTAAATATTGATAGATAAAACTTGTCAGGTTGATGAAGGTGACTTAGGAACAAAGCACCAGGCAGCTAGCACATGAAAGAAACACCCATCAGGCACTGAGGGAACCGCAGGGTCTCCTGGCCAACCCTGGATCTCAGCCAGTTCCCCCCACCAACTCCAGTGGGACAAGGGACTCTAAGAGACCCTTTTCCTGTCCCAAGCCCTCCCTTCCTGCCCTAAGCCCCATCAAATTCCATTCCTGTGGATCCCCTAGGCGGTTTCTCCGCAGACCCTCTTATCCGCTCAGTCGGTCTGACAGAGTTCCACCCAGGAGTAGGATCTCAATAAATCCTCATAAGAGGCTTTTTAAATCTGCCTTCTTTTGGTCACCACCATGGCCTGACCTTACAAAACTCACATAAAAAAAAAGTTCTTTGGGATCCACAATAATATTTTAAAGTGTAAATATTTGATGCTCTATTTTAGGGCAACATTTCTTTATTTCTTCTTTTCTCCTTTGTTAATGTAAACAAGAAAAGTAATTCTTAGTTTATAAATTGTCTCTTCTTCAGATAAACAGAGGCATCTTTTGGATTATCCAAGGCCTTCCACCTATATCAGAGCAATCAAGAGAATCAGGCTTGCTTGAGTGATCCAGTGTAAGTTTTAAATTGGTCTGCGAGTCTATTTTAATACTTTTAAAAATACTTTTAATTAAACTCAGTAAACTTTTAGTCTGTTTCTGCTTCTCTGTCCCCTCTTCTAGAAGGCAAGCCTAATGTCAGGGTCTGGGCCTCGCTCCTTCTGAAAGCACAGTATGTAAAAGCAAGCCTCGCCCCCGAGCACGCTCACCTCATCTCCTAGAATCCCTAGTTTGTAGAGGGTCACTCCAGCCACTGCGGCCTTTGAATCTTTGATGCTCCTCAGTCACATCCAACACTCTCTTACTCCTACTCCTCTCCACTCCTGCTGTATCCTCTGCCTGCAGCAGTCTTCCTCTAGCTCACTTATGGCTGCCTTCTTCCTTCAGCTTTCTGCACCACTATTCCATTCCATGAGGTTCCCTAGATATCAGGTGTGAAATGGTTCTTCCTTCCCTGACCCTTTCACTCTTCATACCCTTACCCTGATTCATGTTTCTTCACTTAGTACTGCCTGACATACTATGTAACATATTTTGTTGACTGCAAGATACACATTAGTTTATTGTGTAAATATTTTGTTAATATTTATTTTTTAGTTGTAGTTGGACACAATATCTTTATTTTATTTATTTATTTTTATCTAGTGCTGAGGATGGAACCCAGGGCCTTGCACGTGCTAGGCGAGCACTCTACAGCTGAGCCACAACCCCATCCCTCAGTTTTGGGGTTTTAACAGAACTGAAATATAGGATCTCTTAAAAACTGATGATGTCTTAAAAGTGCCATAGGTCTAGACTAACACGGAGTTCTCCCACAGGAGGGCTGTGTGTGCTTCTCCCAGTGCAGGAACGTTACCAGCCTGAGACACCCTGAAATTAAGTTCTCTGTTTAAGGATTTTGTTTATACCACACGAGCAGAGTGAATTAGACAACAAACTGATGACTACGATTTGTGGTTCATATTCTCAGGGAAGGTATTTTTCCTTCCCTTAAACAGTGCCAAGTTTGAGACATTCATATTTTCTTGCTGAGCTTTTCTGTGTCTCTATTTATCTTTTAATTGAAGATGCAGGCTGTTGGTGTCCCTATTAGACTCTCTTTCTTGGTGGTACATCATATAACAGCACATCTTACAGGTGAGATGACAACTCAGATTCTATGAAGCATGCTACATATTTGTTTTCTTTCTGCCTCCCCCACTACAGTGTACGATCTGTGAGACCAGTGACTTGGACTGTTTTATTCATTTGTAGTACCTTCAATACCAGGTATATAGTAGATGCTCAACAAATATTTAATGAATGAATAAATAGTACATAACCCAAAATATTTGTTGAATTAATAAATGAATATGCTAGCTGGGCACAGTGGTGCATGCCTGTAATCCCTGTGGCAGGAGGAGGCTGAGGCAGGAGGATTGCTGAGGTCAAAGCCAGCCTCAGCAATTCAGTGAGGCCCTAAGCAACTCGGTGAGATCCTGTCTCTAAAACACAAAAAACGGGCTGGGGATGTGGCTCAATGGTTGAGTGCCAGTGGGTACAATCCTTGGTACGAAAAAAAAAAATAATTAATTAATATGCTAATTTTAACTGGGGAACAAAAAAGGAATTCTGGATCATATTATCATTTATAATATGGGATGGGGGGACTACACGAGTCAATCTGAATTATTTCCTTGATCTTACTGTGGCATCTAAAATTGAGTGTCAGGCTGGGGGTACAGCTCAATGGTAGAGGGTTTGCTAGCATGTGCAAGGCCCTGTGTTCAATTCCCAGGATCGCAAAAATAAAATAAAACCAAGTCTTTGCCTTTGAATATGTTATTTTGAACATATGGTTCTACTTATAATTTTTTTTTTAAAACTGGACATGCAACAGCCACATAAATTTATGTTCACATTAGCATTTTATGTCCTGGAGGATTACTGAAGGGTATTTTGGGAAAGAAAAATTGCAAATCACTTGATGGTGGTGATAAGTCACGTAGAGGAAAAATCTCCAAGTTAATTTAAGCTTTTTGGTTTGTGCTGAACTGGAACAGGGAGGACAGCCCAAAGGGTGGGGAGAGCCTGGCCAGCCTCACTAAAACGACAGAGAGTTTTGTTGCTTCCATTTCCTGTAGACACAAAATACAAGCACTAAGCTTCCAGCATCAGACCTGCTGGATTTTTTTCTTGACTCCCAAGATTTTAAAATTAAATTTCCTTTGGTCTAAGAATGTTTTGTTTCTACTTCAAAAAATATATTTATTTTTAGGAGGATAAAACCATTCTGTGCCAAAATCTACCCTCCAAAGAGCCTTCAAATCAACGTATGCAAAAAAGGAACAGAGGCAGGAAGATAGAAAGGAGTCCTGGGGGGGCTTGATGAGAATGTGAACTGTCTCACATAACCAAAGCCTGGAGGAAGGTTGTTATATACAATAATTTAGCAGCTCTAAGCACAGAACTCAAAACCTCTATTTCTGGGACTGGGGTTGTGGTTCAGTGGTAGAGCACTCGCCTCACACGTGTGAAGCACTGGGTTCAATCCTCAGCACCACATAAAAATAAATAAACAAAATAAAGGTATTGTCCATCTATTACTAAAAAGAAAATATATACATATATACATATATAAAACCCTCTATTCCTAGTATGAGGATAAGCTATAGTTATGGAAACTTGGGCAAATTATTGAACTCACTGTTTCACTTCTTCATCTTAAAAAAAAAAAAAGTAGGTATTTATTTCATTAGGGTTGAAGATTAAATGAGATAATACACTTTAACACCTGGTATAATATTTAGCAAATAGGAATATTTGATATTTTGATATTATCATTACTATTATTATCATTATTACAGATAAATGTTTAATAAAGTATGAGTATTATTATCACCAACTATATTATAATATTAACCAAATTATTTCATACACAAAAAAAGAAAAAACTTCTAAATATAACTCAAAAAGTTAAGAGATTTTTAAAATGCCTTTTGTGTGGGGCATGGACACCACAGATTTTAAATAACATACCATGAAACTATCAATTGGACTACAATATCTACTAGCTCTGTGTTCATCAATTATTAGAGTCACTAATTACTCCATTCATGTTTGGTTTTCTCTCATTCTAGACTTCAGAACAACTCTTCCTTTTTGCTATACACTCTGATATCAGTGATGTTGGGTAAATATGATGGACAGGGAAGGAAATTATAACCTACAGTAACCTAGAGGTTATCATAATGGTTTAATTTGAAAATTACATGACAAAAAATCGCCTTTAATTGTCTGTGTACACACACACATAGTTTAGGTTAAAAAAAAAATACATTCTCTCACAAATCCACCTGGAGTCTATTTCAAGTATTTTCACGCTTGAATAAAGTCTTCAGGAGTAGATTAACAACAACATGACACTAGATTATTTGTTCATTCTATTCTATGAGAGTAAAAGAAAAACTTATAATAGATCTGATATTGTCCCCAGGCCCATTTAAGGCTGATAATTACTTGTCATCCCTCTTAAACTGCTGTCTGCTTCTTTCCCCAATTCACCAATTTATTCTCAGAAGATAAAACTTCTGAATGCACTTTATCCAAAAGAGTTTTTTTCCCCTACCTGTGGGGCGAGGGATGGGATGCTAGATCAGAGGTGGCCTTGGTGATTTCTAGATCTTCATTCTCTAGAAAATAATGGAAACAAAGAATCAATATCTGAGAGGGAACCCAATCATAATTATCTGTAACTTAAAAAAAATACTAGCAGTTTCAACCAAAAATATTTGGGGCATAAACTTTATATTCTCAGAGTCGCAGAACAAAAATGACTCAAGACATCACATCAAAGTATTCTCAAACAATCAAAACCCATTCATAAAAAAAGATAAGTCATTTTGCAAAACAAGTCCCCACAAAATTAATCCTAATTCAAGAATCATAATTCTCATAAAGTAGGCAGAACACAGAAGGCAGACTGGAATGTACAATGAAATGAACTGAATTCAGTGTCAAATTACAGAGTGTCACTTCTACATTCAATAAGCTCAGGTTACTGTATCCAATGTCAAGTAAAGGACTTTTGTGATTTAATTTATTTATTCATTCACCCATGATTTCTTGAATGAGTAGGTGCTCTCAATAAATATACAAGTGAGGGCTGGGGATATAGCTCAGTTGGTAGCATGCTTGCCTCACATACACAAGGTCCTGAGGAGGGAAGGAGGGAAGGAGGGAGGGAGGGAGGGAAGGAGGGAAGGAGGGAGGGAGGGAGGGAAGGAGGGAGGGAGGGAGGAAGGAAGGAAGGAAGGAAGGAAATGCATAATGAGGGTCATGCTCCCAAGCTCAGGACAAGCTTGGTGTTACTGTTGCCATCTTGCAGGTAAGAAAACGAAGTGGGAGAGATTGTGCTCTTAAACATCAGGTGTTACTTAGTTTTGTGGTTTACTTGTTCAGCCTTTCCCTGTACACTCAGATAAAATCTGGTTTGCTACATTTAGATAGCCATTAGTTCAGTGCCCTCTGGTTAAGACAGAAAGAAACTGAAGCCCCAAGTCCACTTTCTAATACAAAATGAAATGTTTTTGTTTTGGGTGGTACTGGGGATCAAATCAGGGACACTCTGCCACTGAACTACATCCCTAGCATTTTTTTTTTTTTTTTTTTGAGAGAGAGAGTCTCTATAAGTTGTCCGGGCTCGCCTTGATCTTGCAACCTTCCTGCCTCAGCCTCCTGAGTATAGGATTACAGGTGTGTGCCACTATGCCCAAATTAAAATAAAACTTAATGAGGTAAACTTCAAACACTGAGAATGTCATAAAAGTGAAAATGACAGGCAAATACTTGTGATCCAACCTTAATCTAGTCTCTATTTCTTGTATACAAATAGCCCTATATTTCTTTCTTGTCAATTTACAGTCTCGCGGATAGAAACATCTTGAGCTCAGGCTACCCCATTTTCCTCTCAACAAAAGAACTGAGTCTAAGATGCTTGTCAGCTATTCCCCAGTTTCTGCCACTCTGTGAACAGACCCAATTCCCTGAGGGATAATGAGAATAAAAAGTTCTTCCCTATGCTGACTTAAGTGAAAACTGATTCCTAATAAATTTACTCTGGGATCACTCCTCCCCACAACACCCTTTCAAAATATTTGTAGTTTGCCATCACACTTCCCATAGGTTCCTTCTACGGGGGCTGGCCATCTCCACATCACAGGGCCTCTAATATGCAGGTCCTGTTTCATTGCTCCACTGCATTTGTTCCACTCAAAGTAAGGAGCTAAAACAAACAGCCGTTTCAGATGTGCTCTAACCTATGCAGGGTACACCAGCAATAACCTCTTACTAAGGACACAATATTTTTTGGTATAACACCCCATCCAAGCACTAGATGTTTTTTTAGCTGCTAACTTACTCTGTTGGCCTAAATAAGTCAATCAAAGTTTCAGGGTTTCTAAAATCAACTTTTCCAAGCCCACTCCAACTTATGTTCTATTTTTGAGATACACTTTTGGAAAATAACTGACTTATTAACTTAAATTCAGAACTTTACATACCCATCTTATTTATTTCAAATTAAATTTTTGAAATTATACCCATAATGCTTTGTTCATTGTAGAACAAATTAAATATTAATTTTAAAAAATTTGCATCTGCCCTTCCAAACTTTGTCCTTTAAAAAACTTTTTAAATACACAAGTAATCCAAAATTCACAATAGAAAAATCAGGAAATACTGATAAACAAAATAGCCAGAGAAACACCAATAACCATAACTCCACTAACCAAAGATAGCCACTATTAACAACTTGATGTATATCCTTTCAAAAATTTATTTACATAAACATACCAAATGTTAATAGACATTTTTCATGAAAATTTTTCAGGGCCAGTAAAAAATAAGGGCTATCTCATCATTTTAAACAGCTGCACCTTCCACCTACTAGTTTTGGCAATCAATCATGATCATTGTGTAAAATTGATAGATAATTTCATTAGAATCTGGAAAACTGTTTTATCAATTCTAGCAAGCGCTTATTTATTGTAATTCTTATATTAAAAAATAAACTTCTCCTCATCAACTATTTGGCTGTTATAAAATACTCATAAAAGAAAGGTAGGATGAAGAATTGATTTTAGGAGCCAGGCACGGTGGTGAACGCCTATAATCCCAACAGCTCAGGAGGCTGAGGCAGGATGATGGCAAGTTTGAGGCCAGCCTCAGCTACTTAGCAAGGCCCTAAGCAACTCAGTGACAGACCCTGTCTTAAAATTGAAAATAAATAATAAGGGCTGCTCAATGCTTGCCTCACATTGTGAGATATTGGGTTTGATCCTCAGCACCACATAAAAATAAATAAAGCTAAATTGTGTGTGTGTGTGTGTGTGTGTGTACATCTTCAGTCATATATATATATGACTGAAGATGTAGCCCAGTGATAAAGCACCTCTGGGTTCAATCCCTAGTACCAAAAAAAGAGGGGAAAAAAAGAAGGAAAAAAGAATTGATTCTACACCAGCTGTCAAAATACTGACTGAGTTAGATTCATAGGTGAAGAATGATTTATTTTTTAAAGTGTCATTAGAAACATGGATTTTAACATATTTTATGTGTTTGAAGGTTTCCTAGCTTTTGCCTATGGGGCTCTTGTGTCCCTTTAACATGACCCAAGTAGTCTTGCTTAAAGCACAAGTTCCAGGCTCCTCTTATAAATGCCCTGTCCCAAACCTGGAATCAATCATTTCTCATGTGTCCTATTTTTGTTCATGTGACTCAGCATTTAGAAACTCCACCCTCATGCTGGGGATATAGCTCAGTTGGTAGAGTATTTGCCTCCCACAGGGCCCTGGGTTCAATCCCCAGCACCACAAGAAGGAAAAAAAAAAAAGAGAGAAACTCTACCCTCATAAATGGCTAGATGCCATTATGGGGGGAATGGGTTAATTATCCTGGGGATGGGTTAGTTATCATTGGAGTGGGTTTCTGATAAAAGGATGAGTTCAGTCACCTTCCCCGTCGCTTATGTGTTCATTTCGGTTTCCTGCCATGAGGCGATACAGCAAAAAGACCCTCACAAGAAATGACTTTGAATTTCCCAGCTTCCAGAAGTGTATAAAATATTTGTTCTTTATAAATTACCCAATCTCATATATTGTTATTGTTAGACCAGGACGCAAGAAAAGACCACTGACTCCAATTAAAATCAAATTAAAGCAAGCTTATTATTTTGACCAGCCAGGCTGCCTCTCCCAACAAAAACCGGGGGAACAAGATAGCCCTGCAGCTTTCTTGCAACCCAGCTTTATAGCCCAGAAAGTTACACAAAGGGGGTTACAGATAACAAAACTTTGACGAGTATAACACAAATGGTAGTTTACATTTTTGCTGGCCCCAGCATCAGAATTTATGAAGGTCATTAGAGCCTCAGTGTCTAATAGAGAAACCTTTAATTCTGTTACTCAGGGATGGATAATCATACTAGCAAACACCAAGCCTACCTGTGTAGGTTAGGAATATCTGTAGGCCTTAAACTAAAAACTTCTGTCTCTGGCAGCTCCTCTTGATAGTCTCTTTTTATAGTTATCAGGCGTTTCTGCCTGAGAATCCTTTGTAGCCTCCAGTCTTACTTATTTTGAGAGGCTAACATAAGGTGTATACCTTAAATAATAATAATAATAATAATAATAATAATAATAATAGTAATAATAATAATTATTATTATTATTATTTTAAATGTCCAGGAATGGCTGTATTTTGGTTTTAACTGTCTTTGCTAAGTGTTTAAGATGAAGTCAAACTGACTTTTGTTTCTATCTATTGTTAACAGTCAGCTGAGTTTTTATGGGAGTCATTCCTGGGGAAACTTGAGAGCAGCTTCTCAGTTCTGCTAGTGCCATTTGCGCTAGGATGGGTCCAGGTCTTGCTTGACCATGTGGCTTCCCTTGGAAGCATCAGGGATGTCTCCCTTCTCCGATGACCCTCCTCTTTATAGCAAATGCACTGATTGGCTTTCTGTTCTCCAGTGGTCTCATTAATCTCCCTGATCGGGAGGTTATGAGGCCCAGAGTTGCAAAGCTCTTTAGAGAAGTCCCCTGTTCCCTGGATTCAGACTGACTCAGAGGGCAAGAGCCAAATATTGGTTTTCTTGGCCCTTTTAATTTAACTTTAATTCTAAAACTTAATCTTAAACATCCAGCAAATAAATTTTAACAGCCTTATATTAAGAGTACTGGGCTTTAATGTCTATAACTTTACAATTATTTATCTTTTTTATTAATTGGGGTCTGTATTATCCTATCTGTCTTGTAGGTGATGGCTTATTATCTTAAATTAACCCAGGTTGTGTTCTTAAAGCAACACCTCTGCAAAACACTAACAGGGAATCTTGAGATCATTTATAAGGAAATTACAAAATAAAATTAACAAGAGTAAAAACATATTTAGTTCCTGTAATAGTTACCCTGAATTTTGGCTGAGTTATACATTATATCCCCTGTTTGAGATCCTAGTAATCTTGACAGAAAAAAACAACTTTTGAACATAACTTTATTTATTTATTTTTTAATATTTATTTTTTAGTTTTCGGTGGACACAACATCTTTGTTTGTATATGGTGCTGAGGCTCGAACCCGGGCCACACGCATGCCAGGCAAGCGCGCTACCACTTGAGCCATATCCCCAGCCCTGA